TTGTTGTAATAGCTTAGATTTATTTTACGCAATTTATCGCATTATATACATGTTAGTAAAACTAGGGTTTTGCATGATAAGACAAAAATCAAACAAATAGAATGACCTAATACAAGACAAACAAAAGCATGAAAAATGACAACACATTGCACACAAGCACCCCTAGGGTTTCACCCACTTGGTTGCCTTAAAACAAAATGGCCATGGTATGCATGCAAAGTATCTTGGCAAAACAAAACAAAATAAAAGATCATAGTCCCTCGATGACGCTATCAAAAGTTGCCTAAACAAAGATGATCTTGGTCCCTCAAAACTTGCTAAGATACTTGGAAATATTGCTATCATGGTCATACGATGACCCACGCCCGTCCCGTTTAACATCCAAAGATAGGTTTGTTTACCAAATCAATGGTAAATCAACAATATCAAAGGAATAAAAATGTACAAGAAAGACATTTGAGTAGGTAGATAAGCTTCTAGTTACTTGATTAACTTCAAAACAATCCTTGCTATTTTCAAACACACACACACATTTTCAAAGCATTTTCAAACAACTTTCAAAACATTGAAACATTTTTCAAAAGACAAACATCTTTGTATACATTCTTACGAACGAGAATCATTAGAAAGATTTCCTAAACGATGGCCTCTTTTCAAAATACTTTCAAAACCACACGAAGCACCATTTCAAACAGTTTCAAAAGCAAAGCAAGTGATCTAAACAAGTAACTAAGAGCCCATGGAAAACCATGGATGAAAAGGGTGCTAGCACCTTCCCTTTTCATAATCTACCCCCCGAACTCAAGAAAACATCTCAAAGGTCTTTCCTGTGCTTTTTTACCTTTCCTTTTGGATAAAAGAAAAGTCGGTGACGACTCTTGCTAAACCGAAACATTTGTGAACACAAACACAAAACCTCAAGTCAGTTCTCCCACCGTATCACAACATACATTAACTACTTTTGTTTCATAGTGCAAACTGTTATGGCTGAAAAAGAAAATAACTTTTCCAGATTTCACTAAGGAAATCGATTACCCATATTGGGGAAATATATTTCCCCTTCGTAAGACAATCATACAGCTTTTCTGGAAAACAACTTTTCTGCATGGAAATCGATTACCCAAATATTTGAAATCGATTTCCTTCACGATTTTTTTTCAAAAAATAGGTGCAACGCTTCAGGGAAACTGATTACCCTTATTGGGAAATTGATTTCCTGTATTGATAAAGGCAAATTTGAGTGTTTTAAATTCTGAACATTTTCCAAATAACACCATTTCAAACTTGCATTGTTTCAATTATTTGCACATTTTTAAAAGGGTGTTAAGGCCCTATATAAGCTATACATTTTCATATTTGAAAATTACCTCTTCCATTTGCAATTTAACTTCATCTTTATCATTCAAATTTCAAACAAGTGTTTTAATTATCCAACTTTCACAAATAATTTTCTACATTAGTTTCTAAACCAGTCTAGAAAATTCATCTCATATTCATAAACACTTGAGCACTATTATCTTTAAAAATTGTATGATTGGAAGGAAAGATCAATCAAGTGATTGATACACTATATATCTCAAATCAAACTCTTGTAAAAACTAGACATGCTTGTTGTATTCTTGCTTTCCTGGATTGTTAGAAGTAAGAGAGTCATTAAGGGAGGATTGTTCTCTTAGCGTACTTAGTGAAAATCCAATAGGATTGTTCTTGGTGTTTGTGTTGGTCGTTGTACAAGTCCAAACAATAGTAAAATCTCTTTCGTGTTGAAAGAGGATTGAAGTACTCTCTGACTGTAAGGGGAACCGGGATACATCCTTGTGTCATTTATTTTTCAGCACTTTATTGCTTTCAAAACATCAATATAAATCAGAAAAATAATACCAACTTCACCAAAAACCGATAAAAAATTTAAAGTGTCTAATTGACCCCCCCTCTTAGACGCACTCAATATTTACATTTGAGCCAGAATTTGCTCGACCACATTAGAAATGTTATTCTTCCCCCCAAAATTATTTTTTTGGACATTTCTAACCACTTAGTCTACATCCTGATTTCTATTAACTATAAGTACCTCTGGGCCATTTCACACTACATCATCCCTAACTACCCTTGGTATGGATTGTTCGACCTGTTATGGCATAACTTATTGTGGCCTCTGATCATTAGTATTCCCTTCATTGATTGACCCTCACGGTTTTCAAACTGGCCTAACATTTTGGATTTGAGGCATTGGTCGAATATGCGCTTGAGGTGCACTAAAGAAGTCAACAATTCAATCCATCTACCGAGCTAATTGTTGATGATTATGGTTTGTGTTTTAAATCAAAAGATTAAACAAAGTTCATATTTTTTGTATAGTCATATTCACCATATTATGGCTACTCTCATCCATTAGTTGCCTTATAGACAGGAGGGAACTAATAGTTAAGGATGACATAACTTGAGGGGCGTATCCTAACCCTCCTTGTGGTTGTGCCATTTGACTAGGATTTCTTATAGAAGATCCTGGCACTAAGTATGGATGAAGAGGTGACACAATAGACAACGTATTATCTGCATATTTCGTTGCATTAGTTTGTAGGCCTCTCATCATTGCAGTTGGAATATGCCATAAGGATAGTCCATACTACTAAGGGTAGCGTAAATCTTGGAAAAAAGAAGGCCTAGGGTCTCTCATTATTGCTTGTGTGACATTGGGGGTAGTTGGGATACTCAGTGAATATGGTGGGGAAACCGCCACTTCTAGTGATATCTTCGACGCTGATATATGGCTTATGATAGGAGGAGTTACTCCAACATTTGTTAAAGTTCTTGCACTACCAACTATCAATTTGGTCAGTTATCCTTATACATTTAGAGCATTATTCTAGGGAAGGGGAGGATTATTTAACGTTGAACGTGTCATTTCAGCAAGAGTGTTACCACTCCTCAAACGCATAAACACTCAACCATTGAAGACAATTCATACATGAAGAACAAAGTAAACAATAAAAGACACAACACTTTTCAGCAGAATTTAAAATTTCTTGCATAAACGGGTTTCACTGGGCATGCCAATTTATTTACTGGTATTTTTAGTAAACAATCTTAAGTTTTATTTGACTTAATGGATTAAACTCGAAAAAATCTTAAAGATAATTTGTGCAGAAAAGTACAACGAAAACTTTGTGATTGAAACTTAAACGTTTGAATGTTGACAAATTGAACACAAACTCTATTTGAAAAAATGTAGAATTTCTTTAGAAGAAGAAAATAGACAAAAAAGCATAATAAATATCATTAAAGTAAATGCTTCAATTAAAAGACTTAAGGAATTTTAAAAAAGGATGCAGACTCATAATTTTCTCACAAACTGTTTCTCTTAGTGACTTGGATACTTTAGCTCTACAGAGAATACTTGATGAATTTTGTGACCTTTGATCACAACAATGAGATAAACTTATATACTAATACAATGTTAACCTCCGAGAACGGCTATTTCCACAAAACTCGACGTGTATCCCCTTATGTGAGCTTCAACCTCCTGGTTTGCTTCTACGTGTCTTCAATGTTTAAACTGTTGCAAACCATCCATCACGCTGATAACTACCTTTGAACCCTCTAGCTGCCTCTGTCGAGAGTGTCTAGTTGATTCTTATAGTATTGTTGTAACATCCCTAGTTTGACCGACTTCTAGACTAAAAAACACACTAAGTCTTCAACATTTGATGGACGTGTCGAACTTGACACTTTATCGAAGAATGATTTGTGCAAACCTTTTTCGAGATTCTGGACATGTTTTGAAGAGAGACTGATCCTAATCTTGTGGATCTATTTTTGGGACTCTTCGAAACCAGGCTTCATGGGCGTTAAAAGACATTGTGTCTCAGACCATCTGATAAATTAGTCGAACCATCTTTAGTCGACGTTGTTAGTATGTCAAAACCATGATTAAGTTTCTTTACACTTAGCATTTTTAAATGTAGTCATTACCATTCTCTATCGAATCCTTCAAGTAAAGTTTCTAGACTAGCATGTATATATACCCCATGTTGGGTTGTTAATGTGTAACCATCATTTCCACCCTAATTCTCTCACCCTCTCTCTCTCTCTCCATTATTCTCCCGTTCATCATTTTATCTTGTGATTGAGGTTTTGCCCCAACGATAACTAGCTTCCTCAAAACTATACCATTACCTCATATATGGGCCAATCTGATTCCTTCAATAAACTCACGATCATCTTGTAAAAATCTCATTACAAAACATGCATCCTTAAAGGTTTCATGTTGGAAACCATCCACTTTCTTAATGTCATTGTAACTTACAAGTCATTTCTTCACAATCAACATCATCATCCTTAGATAATATAACTCACATATACTTTATGTAACCTAAATAAGTCGATAAATGATGTATCCTCTTTTGTCTGGTTTCCAAGTTCTAGTTTTCTTAACATAAATAAACTTTGAAGCAAATAGACCATAAGTTAACAACCTTGTATCTTCAAAGATTTTGTTTGCCTCGAACCAAACTTTAAAATAAATTCTTTTACACTTTGTTTCCGTAAAACATTTCTAATTTACTCATAATTCTTGTAGTAAACCGAATTTTCTCCTTCCAAAACCTTTTGACATCAAACTTTGTTCCATATATTAAATTAGAGAAGATCCTCCAACATATTTCACTTGAAAATTATATCTACAGTTTAGATATTGTTTCATTTCATCGATGTTTTCCTGAATATAAGTTTTAAATTTAATCTCTAAACAAATTTACTATATTATTTATGTACAAATTTGATTATTTATAGTAGTCACCTTTTACAAAAATTAATAGATGCTTTAGAATTAAAAATACATTTAACCTAAATCAAATAGTTTGGATTTAAATGATAAGAATGCTTTGCTAGTGCCTATACCATTGTGCCAAAGCCAAGAAAATACATTTAACCTTATAGATATGGTTCATTCTATGCTTAAGAAACTCCAATCATAGCGCAGAAGAAGAAGAAGAAGAAGAATGATGGTGAAATCTATCCAGCTTCAGCTATGCGGGTTTGTCACCCAACGTTGGTCTCTAAAACCTCGAACCTCCCTTTCATTCTCATCACTATCATCACTTCCCCCAATTTCAAACCCTAACCCTAACCCTTCTTTCAAACTCCTCCCCACCCCTCGCATCACTCGATTCACACCGTTTCGTGCTTCATCATCGCTTCAATCCTCTGTAAGTTCTCTCTCCGCGTCTCCAATTATTATGGTTTTAGCGAAACAGCTTCAGAATCTTGAGAGTTTTTGACCTATATATATGTATGTAGTTAGTTATTGATGGGGGCTAATAATGTAGGGAAATGTTCGAAGTATCAAGTTCTGTCAGTGGTGTGGTGGTTCAACTAAACATGATATACCTGATGGTGAAGAAAAATTGAGAGCCATATGTACAGTTTGTGACAAGATTGCTTATCAAAATCCCAAAATGGTAACTGGTACTGCCTATAATACCTATATGTGGCTTCTGTTCGATACAATTTAGTGCCTGTGTGAAGTAATAGTGATGTAGTTTTGTGTGTTCTGCAGTAACTTGCTTGATTGTGCACAAATTGGTTTTATAGAACAGTTTCATATGTGTGTGTGATGTGCAAGTAGAGTAGAAATAAGCATAGGTTGGGTTGAAAGTCTAAGACCTTAGTCTGCGTGTGTCCAAGTTTGGATATGATTGAATTTGTGATATATGATAGAATGAAGTGGAATGGAATAGGCTAGTTAGGTTTGAAAAATGGATGTTATTCAGTTATAATTCATTCCACAGATCCAAAGATAAATCTGAGTGTCTGACCAGTTTATTTTCTCTAGGCCTGTTTTTTCAAGACATAATAATCTGACTTGTTTGGAAGGTATTTGGTAAGAATATCCTTAAATAAATAATAAGGTTATCACTTATAAGCTTATAGGTTCAACATCAAAAAAGCTCGCTGATATGCTTAAATCTTTAAATAGGTCAAACAAATATATGATTTTAGCACAATATAATTAGGCTTTAAATACTTCGAGAAGGTATTCCCAAAGCACTTGATTTTAGAAAAGTTCCCATTATGGCTAGGTTAGGGGAAGGGTTTGGACTTTGGACCCTTTGAGAACAGGAGGCGTGATTTTTTTTCCTCTACGTTCATTGCTTCATCTTTAGAAATTTTTTTAATAAAAATAAGTTAGAGCGTAATGCATGAATTTGATAGTTGATACTGAAATGGATGTTGGGGTTTAGGTATCTGCATATAACACGCTTTAAGTTGGTCTGCCTATCACTTTTGTTCTCTAGTCCTTTCTCCTAAAGCACTTAATGATAATGCAAAACAAATAAGGATCAGGAGGAGTATCATTTGTTTTTGGATGTATTCTTAGACTTCTTAGAAAATTAACTCTGGTAGTTGTATACTGTTTGTCATAGCACTTATTTTTTTCATTCATTTTGTACAAGACTCTATGACTAACTACTTTGTTTGTCATAGCACTTATTTTTTTAATTCATTTTGTACAAGACTCTATGACTAACTACTTTGTTCTGAACGTTACTTGATATTTGGCTGGCAAAGTAGGTAGTTGGTTGCCTCATTGAACATGAAAATAAAGTCCTCCTTTGCAAGAGGAATATTCAACCTTCTCACGGTCTTTGGTATGAATCAATATTTTATTAAACTGCTTATTCTCATTGTATCTGGTTATGTATAGATTAGGTTCCTTTCTTGGAACTATCATAATATAAATGCTAATAAATTTATCATAATGATGAATATTGTATCTCTTTTCATCAGTGAGCTATGTTAATTTCATATTTTGGTATCAACAAGGACGCTTCCCGCTGGCTATTTGGAAATCGGAGAGTCGGCTATGGAAGGTGCCGTAAGGGAAACAAGGGAGGAAGCAAATGCAGATGTAGAAGTAATTTCTCCCTTTGCTCAATTGGACATTCCTTTAATTGGCCAAGTGAGGACTGTTGAAGAAACTTTGATTTATCATCCGTTTGTTTATTTTTGTTGATTCTCTTGACTAGGTTTTTTTTACCTTGATTATCACATGTTTGTGACAGACATACATGATATTCTTAGCAAAGCTGAAGAAGCCCCATTTTTCACCTGGTCCAGAATCATCAGAATGCCAACTTTTTTCACTTGATGATATACCTTTTAATTCTCTCTTTTCATCAATGGTGGTTACCTTGAATTTGGTATGTTTCAGCGATATAACCTTTCTGTCCTTTATTTTATGTTGCCTACTCATATTGTGTCTCATATTGTTTCTCATGGCCACAGTATGTTGAGGATATCAAGACTGGCAAGCCCAAATTTCATTATGGAACCATTAACAAAAGGTTTTTTTTCCTAAATACTTGATGTTTCCCCCTTAATTTTATATATGGTTTGGTTTGAGGGAAGGAGACTATGCCCTCTCATATACGAAACAAGTAGAAAATTTTGTAGGTCATTGACATAAATATAAGAAACACAGTACTTCTTTTTTTAAGTGTATTAATTATTACTGAAATGCCTTTTGTAACCTCTAATTTACTATGAATTTTATTTTACCTAGAAATCTGTCTCCCTATGCCAGTGTCTTTCATTTGTCAAATTCTTAGAAAAAAGTTAGTATTGACAACTTTGAAGTTTGAATGTGTGTTACTCTGTCTTTTTAGTTTAGTCTCTTGCTTATAAACATGGTTGCAGAGGGAGTATTTATGTTTAGAAAAAAAAATTAATTTACTTTCATATTGGATTGAAATGTATTAGCCTGGTTAATGAGATACAGTTCGATATTGGTTGGCTACTTGGCTCATGAGTCATGACTGTTTGAGGTCCAGTCTGTCCTGGTATAAACGATAGCAGTTAATTAGGAACAAAAAAATAGACTATCTTTATGTTTGTTTGGGCTAGCATAAGAATAAAGACGAGAATAAAGTAAGTGTAATAGAAGTGAATATGTTGCGTTGGATGTGGGGTAAGACTAGACGGAGAAGAGTAGAAATGACAATATTAAAGAGTGTTGAGATAGCACCAATAGTAGAAAAGATGGTGAAAATAGACTTAGGTTGGGCATGTATAGCGAAAGACTTGTAAATTCTGTGTAAGGAGAATATATTAGATGGAGAGGAGTCAAACAATTAGAAGTAGAGCAAGATCTAGAAAAACTAAGAGTTATTAAGAAAAATCTCGAGATTAATGATTTGGATAGAAGCATGCTCCTCGATAGGATATTATGGCGGAAGTTGGTCCATATAACCGACTCCAAATGTAGTGGAATAAGGCTTGGTTGTTATTGTTGTGGGCTAGCAGCTTTCATATTTTTTCACAAATGCAAATTGACGAAATCAATGTGTTTTCTTGTGAACATAACCATGTATGTCTAGAGATGCTATTTGACCCCAAGGCTGTTTTTGTAGTTTCGTGAATATTTATGATACATTGCTACTACCTATACCTCTATTCCTACTCATCTTGTTTGGTTTTGTCTTGATATTTGTTGTTAGACCGGGTACAAGTCCTTCTGATATTCGTGCCTACACACTGGATCATCACATGTACACATGAGACATGATAAACAGGTTAGTTCCTCGTGTTATATTGCAATATTAATATTTGTGTACATTACAATGAGTTTTAAAGTTACCATTCATTGTTATCCCTATAGATCTGACAGAATTCTTCAAGCTTGTTGCTTGTCGAGGCCAATAATACAACTATTATCACGATCTTTCAAATATTTTGCAGGTTGCAGTAAAGTCGGTGGATATTTGAAGAGTGTTACTAGAAGAAATTTAAATCTGCTAGCCAGAAGATTGCCGTGTCTTCTGCAGATTCCTGGCTTAAGTTTACCATTTGTCAAAAGACAGACAGACAGACAGTCCTTCAGTTCAAGAAACAACCATTCTGCTTGATGCCAGCAAATTCCTGGAGGATTCTTAGTTTGATAGATTGTTGCTATTGTAGGATTAAGATGGAGACTTGTTTTGGCCTAATGGCTTAGCCAAAATTGTAAACATAAACATTCTTCAAGATAAATGAAATTCCCCTTTTTAGTTGTTTCTTATTTTCCAAAACGAGATTTTGTGTAGAGAGCAAACCCAATTGGATGGGAAGATTAAGATTGTGTCCAAAAATTCATCTAACCAAGATTAGTAGTAGTTGTTAAACTGTCCTAGATATTTTATATTTATAATAATTATAAGAATGAAGGCTGAAAGCTGTTTAGTGCAATGACAAGAATGCAACTACTGACACTCAAATCAAACAAGGAGTGATTTTTATGTGTCTTATTATCCCATATAGTAACATAATAAATAATAAAACAACATAGATTACACTATGATTGTGTTTATGCAAAATGATCAAAGTTTTTTTTTTTTTGTTTCACTCTGACAGTAATTAATTGAAGAGTGAACCATCAGAAATAATGGATTATTACATTAAAGTGAACTCAGACGATAATGTAAATCCATATTCATCATACGTTACCTATTCTCTAATCTAGTATCTAATATAAAATAAATAAAATGCTAGAAGACAATAGAAAATCTGAATGAAATCCAAAGGGATCGCAACTCATCCAAGGGAAACATTTTGTATACAAAGATAACATACAAATTTCTGTTTCCATCACTGTTCTTATACTAGAAGGAGAGTGAGGTACTTTGCAATATAACCAATGTGGAACTTGTTGTGCTCACATTTTATTATACTACAAGTACAAAGCCCTCGTCTGAGTTCATATTAAAATTGTCACTTATATAAAGTTCTTAAAATTGGGAAATCTCATCTTTATAGGTGCTCACATTACTGGAAAAAGTCTATAATTTTCTATAATTCGAAAATATATTTTTGGACGCATTTAAAATCACACTAACAAAAGTGTTACAAGTGAAATATCTTTATTTTGCCTAAAAAATGTTTGGACATGTATCTCCCTAATAAGCAAAAACACAGCATACGTGTACTTACAACTTCTGTG